CTACACCAGACGTGACAGTTGTCGCGCCACGCAGCAACAGCTAAAATCTGTCTACACTGGACGCGACAAAGCATCCACTGAAAATCATTTGAAATTTGTGTCAACACGTCATAAATAGAAAGCAGAATCAGTTTTCTGTCAGGGATTTGTCGTGTCATGCCGCGACGCATCCAGTGTAGACAGCATCACTGATTACAATGAGTTCTATAGAATTTTGTCGTGCCGTGCCGCTCGCGTCTGGTGTAGACACGGTGTAACATTGGTTTTGCTTTGTTTCACAGAACTATTCGTTGCCTGGGTTGCGTACGTATGTGTGGGGCGGAGCTATCAAAATAGGGGCGAGACCCTTTTGGGGTAGGGGCTTGATTGTTTTGGTGATTTGAAATGTCAACATTGGCTACCAGAAATCACTTACCCCACCTTTAACATTTTTTTTACTATGGTTTCAGTTTTAGTTAACTATAATAACTCTTATTCTGAACGATTCATCCATGCATTTTATTTTTTTTCCTAATGTAATGTTTCATTTAAATGGCACCCGATCTTTTGGCAAAAAAGACAAATTTCTGTCTATTTTAAGATACAATTTTTCCGAGAAGGTTTTACCATGCAAAAGGTCTGGCAGCAAGAGTCACAGCACTGTCAGTTAACACTGCCCTCACTAATTACTACTAGTAGTAGTTTAGACAAAACTTATCCTGGAACCGCTTTGAAATACTTGGTGAGTGCAGCCCCTGCTGAACGGTATGTTTATGCCCTAAATTTCTGCGTCATCATCATTCAAAAAGCAGCAAGGACGGCGTCGCAACCTTTCCCTCTCTGCTGTATTTGGGTTGGTGTGACTAGTTACATAATATCGGATCACTTAAAATCGGTGAGGTAAACAGGCACTTTGCTAATGGCATACTGGGTCAATAATTTAGGAAATGGAAAACGAAGAAAGTTAACTACAAACGCTTTAAAGCCGGGATTGACTAGGAGGTTCAAACAGTGACTCTAAAAGCCGTACGTTTCTCCATTCACACACAGCAGGGTGGCGAGTCAGCACTCTTTCTGACTGACCGTCATTTGATGACTCTCAGGTCACATGCTACATTTCTACACAGGTACAGACACACACATATTGGTATGACTGACTTACAGCAGATCTCTGCCAGAGTGATCTGACACCATAAAACAGCACAGAGGGGTCACTTTGTTGGAGCAGATGACATTTTATGGCTGTTCTAACCACACCGAAAGGGATGAAAGCTCTACAGTCAATGCTCCGTAAGCTTTCCCACCCTATAACCTGGTGCTTAGGGTGCTTTCAAGTTGACATTTTCATGACCTCAACTTCAAAATTGGGCTAAGAAGTGTGTATTTGCAAATACGGATACAAAACAGTGGGAACACCAATCAAGATGAGAGCACTTTAATCTACGATTACAACAAACAACTGATCCGATTTCCGCCGGCTGTCCAACGATTCATCAGACAGGATGCATTTCACGTCCTGAAAACCTTCAGCAGTAATCAGGCGCACAAACGGTTTCATTTTATTTTTATTTTTTTTAAATACACACTGAACCACCAATCAAGTACGCTGCGGAATAAACATTATATAATCTGGAACATTCTTGTACTGTACAAGCTGCCTGGAAGAGCTCTGCAGTTATAGGAAATCAAGCTATCTGACGGAAAACGTATAATGAGTTAATTAAATTCAAGCACTAAGTTTGCTAGGAGCGGCTGTGTATCTAAAAAAAACATAAAGATAAGTGAGTGAATGTGTGTGTGGCGTATTCGGTCTCAGAGAGATTCTAGGAAGCGTCTATCATATTGCAGAACTGACTCATATGAATGAGCGCCCAGAATAAGCCTTGATCATGCGTTGAACATGCTTACACAGCACTGGGGCACGGAAGGCCAGCCAACATGATTTCAACAAGTCATGGAAATACAACAGCGGAGAGTCTGCTGTTGATGTTTGGTGGTGTGTATGTGTGAGATCACCTTCCAATAAACTCAACAACTACCCATCCGATCTCTTGTGGTGAATTCACCAGTTTACTTACACTAAACCATCAACACACACAAGGTTGTTTACACCCCATATTTACATCCATGGGCCATTATTTAAGAGAGTCAGTAAAATTAGCATCCACTGTAATGGTAAAATAAAAACCATATATGCAGCGGAAGCTCTATCGTACTTGCTTGCCACACGAGAATCAAAGTTCATTCTCACATGTTTGTTCACAAAATATCTAATAAGCCGTTATTCAGCGGAAGATCAGCGGAAATCATAAAGGTTTGGAATGACATGAGGGCAAGAAACCGGTGACAGATCTTTCATTTTTGTGTTAACTTAAGTGTGCAAATTTTATGATGGGTGGGACCAACTGTTTTCCCAAACAAAAGATGATGGAGGGAATTTTTGTATTTTTAAATTGTGTTCAATTTTGTTTAGCAATGCTAGCAGAGAATAAATTACACACTCCACCTTTAACATGGGACCAATGTGAACCAGCATTACATTTACCAAAGCTTAAGCACAATAGTGAGTGCTCTGCATTTCCTTATATGCTACAGAACATACTCAAGCTGTCCTGACTAATAATTGGCAGACATTATGGAACATAAGCTAACATCCATATATGGACATAAAAGGATGTATAAGGCACCTGCTGATTGATCCACAGCAACCCTTTGCAATAGCTAAGACAAGTTGGTCTTAAATTAGTGAGCTCAGACTTTGTGTAGTGCAACACAACTGACCAAAAAATCTGTTTATTTTCCTGTTTAAACGATTAGAGTGAAAGTACCGTACAAAGAATTTGTGACTATGGACATAAAAGGATGTATAAGGCACCTGCTGATTGATCCACAGCAACCCTTTGCAATAGCTAAGACAAGTTGGTCTTAAATTAGTGAGCTCAGACTTTGTGTAGTGCAACACAACTGACCAAAAAATCTGTTTATTTTCCTGTTTAAAACGATTAGAGTGAAAGTACCGTACAAAGAATTTGTGACTAAATAGAGCAGCATTATTTCTTAAAATGTTCTTGTTTTTAACTGCTTTCCTAAACTAAAACATGAAGCAGAATGGAAACAATTGGAGGACATTTTTTCAGCCAGCTGGTCATTTCAGGGATAAGGTTCTCCCTTCCCCGGAAACCCGGCCCAAATCAAAGAGGCTGGGGGACGTAGCCGGAGCCTTATCTAATGTTCAAATCAAACAGAAGGAGAGTGAGATACGCTGCTATTTCTGTCCCAAAGGAAACTCCATGCACAGAACGCACTGCTGCCCTGAAATACCTACAAGACCTCTTCACACACTCTCTCCACGCTACGGGAACCAACCTGAGGGTGCTGGACTACTATGAAATGTTTTGGACACGATAAATATACTGGACACACAAAAATAACTTAACATAAGCACATACTCTTGAAGGAAGAAGGCAATTACATCTGACCTCCTCTTGTTCCGAACTTCTCTCTTCTCCTTAAAAACCGTCTGTCAGCACACATGCCATTCTGTATTGTCAAGACCCAGCTAAAAATAGTCTCACTAGAGGAAATTAGCACTGTAGGATGGGAACAAATGCAAAAAAACTATATGTAAACAAGCAGTATGGGACAAAAGGCTTCATATGGCAGTGCCACAGGCCTTGATTTGACTCAAATGATGGCGCCACATCTATTAACATTTATGCAAAAAAAAAAAAAACAGATCCACAAAGATCAAAAATAGAGAACTGTATTACAAGAGTGAGTTTGCAAACACAAACCTGCCAAAAAAACAACTGCAAAACTGACAAATGCCAAATACAGTTTTAGTTAATCAAGGGGTTCAGAATCAGAGCTCACAAACAAACACAAACATTCACACTATTCTTGGAGGTCTGATAAGGTCAGGATGGGTCCTAAATGAGACCAGTGTGCTTCCTGAGAATTATAAGAATCCCTGAGCATCCGGCACTATGAGAGCTGTCAGCACCACCACCTGTGGGAGACTGAGAACATCTCACTCTGAGAAGACAACCTGATTCCACCGCGCTTATAACAAGCAATAAATATGTCATCTTCATGAAGTTAAAAGTTAACTTGACAGAACAGTCTCATGCCTTCACCTGCTGGCAGGATTGTGCCAATTACAACACTGTCCTCTATAAACACCTGCCACAGTATGTAGTAAATGGAATGTTACATAACTTTTAACAGTAAAATTATAATTTACTCAATTTCATGCCTTTCATAACCCTAACTTTAGACACTTCTGTGAAATATGTATTGATTACATTTAAATTCTACATATTTATAATATAAAAATGCCTAAGCAGCTCTTTTTCCTCATTATGAAAGTGGATGGTGACTACAACTTTCAAGCATCAAAAGGCAATATAAAATACAATAAAACATCAGAAAATAATTCACACAACCCACATGCACTATATTTTCCAAGTCTTTAAAGTCATTGGATATCTTTGTGTGAAGAATAAAGTGAAATTACAGTTGTTAATCACAGAAAATCGTGCTTGACCGCAGTGACAGAATTAGTCATATGGTAATATGGCCCCAATAAAACGTGCTGCTTTTTGTGTTGCAACCTCAAAAATACAGAAAACGGGGATTTTCTTTCATACCGAAAGCACGTTTGTTTGCAATCATCAGATTTCTCAATGAATCCATTCGACTCAACCTGCAAGCGTCCTGATCAGACAGCAGATGGGTTCATTTTAAAATGTGTTTATTAGTTAGCAAGTTAAATCATTAAATGCACTGCACTGTACTCATGCTATCTCAAAACTCCATGCAAAGGGGACACAAATGATCGGTTTCAACATCAGCAAAGGTCGCTGGAGGAAGCTGGTTTAATAACACGAAAGCACTGAACATTAATCTTTTGCAGGCCTCGAGCCCAGAACCTCTCGTTCCCAGGGCGACGAGTGACTGACTGACGTAACTTTCAACCGCGGGTCCGAAAGCAAGATCGTACAAAATCCCATGACACTTACAGTCCAAATGCTTTTTCTTTGGCCCCATGACTTCGTGCGTGGTCGCCTTGCACACCGTTTTGGACACCGCGGAACCGGTAACACTGTGTTGCGCTGCCGTTATCCGGTCCGTTATGCTCTGTCCAGACATCCTCGCAGTTTTAAACAAACAGAAAAAGGGGGGAAACAAAAAAAGAGGGGGAAAAATCTGCTCGGGCTGTTAAATCCAACGGCAATGCTGTAGTCCCTGGGATGTGCACTGTTCCGCCACCTGACTGGGGAAGAAAGAGAGAAAATAAATGAGATAGCAAGTAAGACGCATCCGCCGCTTTAGAGAGTCCAAATGAAGTTTGCTCTGTATGTATGCCGTCAGCTGATCGCGACATTTACGTACCAAACGTTTCCTCTTTTATTACCAGCAGCGTCCCCTCCCCTCTCTCTCTCTCTCTCTCTCTCTCTCTCTCTCTCTCTCTCTCTCTCTCAACCCCTCTGTCACGAACTCTCCTCTCCCTCTCTCTTAACTCCCCCTTTTCCTCCTCAGTGGCTCGACTCTCGGATCTCGCCTCCCCCCTGCTGGGTTTAAAAGGCTCATAGGAAAATGGCGGGTCTGTTTCCTCTTTTCAGAGGATCCTCCCAAGGTTTATATGGATGCTGGATGGTTGGTGCCAAACGACGCCATGTTGGCTCTAAACATTAGGCTGGGGCTCTCATACCTCATAGAAAATGAGTACTGCTATTTGGATTGTGAGCCAAAATGGCGGCTCTAGACGGATAGTTTCTGTGTATTATCTACTAGTTCCGCTATTTAGATATGTGTCACTGATTAAATGTGTATTTATGTCACAGTGAGTTTACAAAATAATTGAATATATAATTGTTATATAAAATGTAATGTGTGTTTTATTTTTAAATATAATATAAACAAGTAGAAAGTGTGTGAGTATTCAGTAAGGTAGACATTTTACAATAACACTTAGTCGAAAATGTAATCTATAATAAAAGATGAGAAAAATGTTTAGCAGTTTTATCTTTATTACTTAAAAAAATATTTATGATTCGTTTATAAATGAATGACTTATTATTAGCTTCCAGTTGATTAACTGATTAACTTGTGGGAAAGAAAATCAAAATAAAACATTTTACTTTACAAAATTACAGATTCTGGAATGTCTTGCATCTGTCTAGTTCAGTTGATGCATTCAAATATTGATTGCAAGAAGACAAATATTCACAAGCATCTTGTGAATATTTTCCTGTGGCCATAGATAGATAGATAGATAGATAGATAGATATAGGATATTGACATTGATGTTGATATATGCTGTTAAGCATCACTATATTCAGCTCACTGGTGCAATTAGATGGAACTCAAGCTGAGGAGCAGAGAGGGAGAGGGTATCAGAGATTGAATGTCAAGGAGATCAGCCACTAATGCACAATGCCAGAGCACTGATCAGTTTCAGGACGAGGCTCATTTGTGTTAAATGGTCCGAGCAGATTGACTTAGGCCTATATAGCAACAGTCGGCATCGCACAGGTGGCATCAGTGCTCATCGGGTTGCAGTTTTATCGGTAGGGGGCGATATGCACATGCGAGTCTCTGTGTCCTTGCTCACAAACTTTCAAGAGCATCTTGACAACGTCCATTTGAGAGACCGCAGGTGCATGTCAGCTCTTTCTATTTACAACAAATATTCTACCAGAAAACGGAACAATATTTCGAGAGGTTGTGTTTATATTTTACAAAACAAGTGTAATCTATAACTTCCTCCTTTTATTCCTTTGGTAATATTCACCACATGCAAAAAAAAAACAAAAAACGTATTATTAAACAATACACTAAATAAACAAACAAGCAACAGTAAATCTTAATAAAAATAAAGCTTCATCATCATCATCAAAATATTATTATTATTTAGAATGATAATATTTATTATCATTATTACAGTTTTTTATTATATATAACGTATAGACATTTAAAGGGCTTTACATAACTATTATCTTTCATGATCCTTTGACATGTATAGTGCTTATAGTTTTTTTTTTTTTCTTTTTAAATCAGAGCTGGGTAGTAACTGATTATATGTAATCTGGATTACGTAATCATATAAAAAATATTTTTACTTGTAATATTACTTTAAATTACATTTTAAAATACTTGTAATCAGACTACAGTATTGATCACATTGATCACATAATCACATTGATCACATGCAATTATTAATAATTTATTGATTCTCCCAAATTCCTCTTTTTCATCTTTTAAATGTTCCCTTTTAAAATAGCCTACCGCTTATACACTCAGAAAGTTTTCCAGTTTTGTGGACATTCACACAAAGACCAGTCAGGTGCTACTCAGCATTTGATTTTGCTCAGCTTTTGATTTTGAATGATTTTTACAAAAATCATTTCAGGTTTAAGAAGTGTTCCAACATTGCATCAACTACTGATGAACACATTAATGTTTATTTGAGTTATTACTCAGAATGTTATTTAACCATCTATTACAATGTCTTTGGGAGGCCTTTGTCTTTCAAACATATTAAAATGCACAAATTCACATTATTTCTTATTTACATGTAATGCAGGCATTCATCTGAACATCTCTCTCCTAATATATTTACTTGAAATACTCCTGCTTTAAAAAAAAAAAAAAAAGAATAATTAAGTATCACATTTGCATGTTCACAGTTCTCTGACATTGATTAATGGTCACATGACATGCAAGTAAACAAATAAAATCATTCATTTTTTTAGGAAGTGTTTTATTTTGATTTATGCTATTTTTTAAATTTACATTTTACATTTTTATGATTTAATTAATGATTAACTTTTCATTCAAATCACAAACGCCCTGCAATACCTTTACACACCCCAATATGGGAAACACTGGCGTAATGAAATGTTTTTATCTATTGTTGTTTCAACTAATTTCAACTAATGGAAAATATTTTCTTACTCTTTGTATTTTTATATCAATATGGTACAAGATTATCCTATTTAAATCAATGTGATAAACAAGTTAGGTCAAAAGTAATCTAGAAGTACTCTGATTATATTACCTGAAATGTGTAATGTAATGGAATACGCTACTAACTACAATTTCTGTCATGTAATTTGGAATCAGTAACAGATTACAATTTGTAAGTAATCTCCAGCTCTGAAAGCAATACAATAAATAATAATGATAATACAGATGATTATTTATTATTATTGCTACTGTTGTTGTTGTTGTAAAATTTTAGTTTTTAGATAATTTCCTGCATTACAATCCTGACACACTGATGTTTTGTATGCTGTGTTATATGCATCTCTGTCAAGGTTTGTGTCTGTGAGGAGAGAGCTGGTTATAGATATGGCTCATAATGAAAAGGTGTGTCCCTCAGGTCTGAATACAACATGGCTTGTGTTTCACACATAAACAACAAGGCATCCTGTGATTTCTGCCACCTGGGACCAGAAACACAGCTTTTCTGTCTGTTTAATCCCGCACAGCTCTCTCACATGCACAATAGTTTCCTCAAACGCTGTCCAGCAGTTTCAACTCTATAAACTCTTTCCTGGATCAGAGTGTGTGTTTTTATATATATATATATATATATATTGTAAAAAGTTTGAAAATTATAAAATAATCAATCAATTAATCATTTGATATGATAAATTGAATTAATTCACATTAACACATTCAAATGTTTATTAATATTGTTTATTCATTCTGGCTTTTAAAAAAAATTCTTCAAGCATTTTTAAGTTTCAAGCATCCTCTACCAATTATTAAACTCAATTTCACAAATATTATTCAAATAGCTTATAGTCATTTTTATTAAAAACGTCTGAATTTCTAATATGAATATTTTAAGTAACAGATTTGCTTAAAAAATAACTAAAAAGGGTCACAAAATGGGTCATTAAAAGGGTGTGAGGAGAAAAGTGATATAGATGTCAGATTCTGGACATGGATATGTTTTTTTTCCTCTATATAGCATGTGCTATATGACCCCATTCACCAGCAGATATAACTGTTTTTGTGTTGGATGAGGGCTTATATAGATGACAAGTGATGCTCACTTTGCTGACAGGAAAACTGTTAGGAGGTAACTAAGTTGGCTGCTGTGACAGACAATACAATCTATCAAGAAGAGAAAAGGCATTTTCATCTGCGCTGTACCCGACACAGGGCCAAACACCTGTCATTGACAGACTTTCCCACTCTCTCCCTCTCTCTTTTTCACACTCCATCTCTCTATCGCCACACAGCTGACTTGTTTCCATATTAGAAGTATTATAAAATATAGTGAAACTATTTAAGCTGTGCTGTCTGTCCTAACGTTGGTATTTCAGATCCATCTGTATTAAAATGATTTTTCGTCTGCTCATAATGTTTTGTCGAACTTGACTTTGAGTCAGTCCCAACAAAGTCTTTCTAATCTCGACTGAATTGCAACATTAACATCCAATTAGTGGCTAAAATCATTCCAGTTAGATTTCAAATCAAATTTGCATCATAAGAAGTTTAAATCGACTGTGCCTCCAGTTAAAAACCCTTATGAATAAACATGGCACAATTAAACAACAAAGCAAGCAGATTCTTTGAGAGAGACAGAGGCAATTAGCAAAACTTGTGGCTTTTACATGCCTCATGGCACTTCAAAAAGGCCACCGAAAGTGTATTCCCTTGTTTGAAATTCCTCTTTGCTTTTCTCTCAGCAGGCTAGATGTATCCTATCAACCAACCTATCAGCCATGACAACCAAACAGAGACAGATTGCTCATCGTTCCTAATTCCTTACAGGCTGCAGTGATTGATGCACTGGGTCAGACACCTTCTTGCCCGCCAGCTGATGGCATTTCACACGGCTAGTAGAAAAACAGTAATTACTTGTACCCTGTTAAAAAAAAGAGTCACTTGATTTACCTGAAACTATAGATTGATTTGTGATACAAGATATGCAGATATTATTTTGCTAAGAGAGGATGGTCAAATATTATTGTTGGTTAGACTAAAGACCTTAAGAAAGGTTAGATATGTAATTGTCATCACTATTATTGTCGGTTTAATATTGTATCACTGAGTTTCTCACCATAACCTCCTGACCCACATTATTCATTGCGACTTAGAATACATTACAACACCTGCAAAATCAAACCTGCTTTAAAACCCAGCAACACAACTGTAGCTGTACAACTTTACAACAGAAACACTGCTTTAACAAAACAGCAAGGCTTATTTGACATCAAAATTTTTTTTTAACAGAAAAAATAATACTCAAGTAAAGTACCGATACTCAAAAAGTGTACTTAAGTACAATACTCAAGTAAATGTACTTAGTTACTGTCCGCCTCTGGTTGCGATAAGCTCTTAATGTGCTCGTAAACACAGTTCCT